AATCTGGATGCAATCTTTTGTTAATTATTTTGGTCGAAATTTTAGTACGGCTTCATCAGCGACAACAGATCCTAGTCAAATTGGTAACGGAAGAAAAAAAAGTCAGCATGACCAATTGGTGGAATGGTTTTAGTAGAGAGACAATGTGAGATGGTGATTCTCAAAGATGAAATTATACAGGCAGAGAGAAATTCTATGTAATGGGAACATGAAAATGGTAACTTAGAAAATAATTCCGAAAAGGAACTATAATTGGTCTTGTGAACCAATGTTCTTAAAAGAAGGGGAAAAAAAACAATAACAAGAATAAAAACAAAAACAAAAAACAAAACGACTCAATGGCACACAAACAAAAAAAAAATGTCCGATATTTTTGGATCTCAGATAATCCGAGTTCACGTTGTTCTTTGAAGGATTGTCTCAACAAAAACAATCCTTTGACGAGACTAAAAACAAAAACAAAGCAAAAAAAACAAAAAAACAAAAAAAAAAACGGAGCCTTAGATATAGTGGTCAGTCCACCGCCTCCGGCCACTCCAGCCATTCAGGTCTCCCATCCATTGGCGAGTAATGAAACCCTTCACCCCAACCCTTGCTTTCTCACCAGGGTTGACCCGATCAGTTAAACGCAGCTACGATGACACACTGAGGATGTCCCATAGACTCTAGGGTCCTTACGCCTCACACTTATCGAGACATATACATACGTCTTTAATTAGTGTCTCCATGTCCGTTCTGCGTCACCCAAACAAATAACCATTGTGTAGGGTGCAGGGGGGGGACATTTTGTAAAGAACACAAGAATCAACTTGGTTATTTGACTTTGGGTGTTGTCAAACAGAATTGCAAAGAAGAAAGAAAGAGTTCAGAAAAAGATGAATTGAAGAAAAACCATAAACTGCAATATTATCTTCAGATTTTTATTATTAGAAGAAATTGTCAACAGTTAAAGGAACTCTGTGAAAGATTTTCTTTTATTGCCGTTTCTATGTACTTACAGGGGCAGATTAACGGCTGAAGGGGAGATGGATGATAACAAAAAAATGAAGATGAAAGTAAATACTAGTCCAAAATGAATAATAATGGCTGACAATGCTTCGTCTAATAGAAATGAAGATGAAAGTAAATACTAGTCAAAAATTAATAATAATTGCAATCCATCATTCATCTAACAAAAAATAAAGATGAAAGTAAATACTAGTTCAAAATGAATAATAATGGTTGGCAATGCTTCATCTAAATAACAAATGAAGATGAAAGTAAATACTAGTCCCAAATAAAAAAACAATGATTGACCATTCTTTATCCAAAAAATGAAGATGAAATTAAATATTGTGCAGGTGAATTGTTGTTTGTTTCCTTGTTGTTCTTTCTTTTTTTATTATTATTTGTGTCATGATCTCGGTGCAACTGTGTGTGAACTTTGCTGTTTTTGTTAAATATCTTGTCAAATGTGTTTGATGCTGAGAGTTGTTCCTGTATGAGTTTAATGAATATTTTTTTCTACGTTTGTTTTTAAGTTTTTATCTTACGGTCGCTTGAACCATATGATGTTTCTTTTTCCCGTTGGATTTTTTGTGCTGTGTTTTGTACGCGAGTGTTGCTTAAAATCCACTATCTTTTAGGGCTGTTTCATAATTTTTCTTGTCTTCGCCGAAGATGATTTTGCTGGAAGAATAGCCAGATAACCTGCAGTCAGTTGACTCTAGGGCCTGTAGCGGGTAGTTGGATGATATGTGTATATAAAGTGGTTTGTTATTAGGTCTGCTCTATGGTTGATATGTACGTATTCTTAGGTTGAATCTAGGAAACCTACTTCTTTTAGGTTAGTTTTTATGCCTATTTTGAATCTCATATTTTAACACGAATTTTTAATATCTTTCTTCTTTTTATATGTTACAATTTCTTAAGATCATGAGACCGTCGTCCCTGTCAAGGCTTGTATCACTTTTTTAGATTTTCAATTAGTTCATGCAGTAAATGTAAGCCTATAAGCTCACAGGTTTCTGCCTCATCAAAACTTCCCATTGTAATGTCAATGTTTGCTTATTTCTTTATCCACACGTTTTTGTTGACAACTAATAGTGATTTTTGGGAGTGTTTAATGATTTTTACTTCAGTATCTATCTATATTTCCGAGATGAGGTATTATGTACGCTATTTACATTATTCAGACTATTGTCCTCATCTTTGTCGCCATATTTATTACGACGTTTCGGCCGTTGTAAGCTCCGGCCTTCTTTAGAGGAGATAACTGATGTCTGACATCCATTAAAACATGGCACGTGGAACTAGAACAGTCTACCCCAGTCAGCGAAATAAAGGGTTCAGTTCGACTTTCCAACCACCTGAAGAAGGTTGGAGCGTATAACAGCAGAAACGTTGTAATAAATATGGCGACAAAGATGAGGACAATAGTCCGAATAATGTAAATATTGTGATTTTTTACTTCGTTTGCGTTTAGTGTTGTTTGTTCTGAGAGATAAGGATTTGAACTTATCTAGCATAGGTTCTGTTATAGAAGGGTATAAATTTGTTATAGTTAATTGTATAAATTCGCAATTATGTTTCTTTTTATGTTTCTGAACCAGACTATATTTGTTTTTGTTTGTTCCACTTTTATCCCAGTGGATTTTTAGTAACATTCCCATACACACTACACAGCATAAAGCCCATCAGAAAAAGAAAAATCATTGTTTAACCAAAAACGTAAAAATAAACGTAGAAAATGTTCATTAACCTCATACAAAAACACTAATCCCCCCCATCAAGCACTCTCTTCAAGATATTCAACAAAAACACAGTAAAAATTCAGCTACAGTTAAACCGGGAACATGACGGAAATAATAAAAAAGCACAACAAACCACCTGTAAAAACCGAACCCACGTGTAACTGCAGAGCAATGAATGAATGTCCCTTAAACAATAACTGCTTTCGGAACAATATAATATACCAAGCCAATGTAAAATCAACACATAACGAAGAAAATATATACATAGTACCAACTGAAGGACCCTAGAAACAAAGAAATTACGCACACAAAACATACATTAAATAAATAAACAAATACCAAAATGTTTTCTGAACACACATGGAAAATTAAAAACATAACCAAATCAAACCAGACATATCATGGAAAATAAGCAAACAAGCATCAGCTTACAACAATAAATCAATAAAGAGTCTAGGGAGAATCTAACTATCATTACCTTCCCAGACCAAACCAAATTACTAAATAAGCTATCAGAATTCTTCTCATAATGCAAACACGAAAACTGGGTGTCCAGTTTGACAAATAAAAGAAAATTATTTAAATTCTCCAAGGACTTGTGCTTATAACTAGTATGAGCATTAAGCGTTAAAAAAATAATTTCTTGAAATTTCATGAAATTAAAGAATTTGGGTGTTGGGTAACATGTAAAATAATACTTTTACTAAGATTTTCTAAAGAAGAAACATCTATAAAATAATTACATTCATTTATGAATACGGCCTGAAGGTTTCATTAAAATCCGATTTTTGCAAGAATTTCCAAACCAATGAACTCCTTTTTCAACAAAAAGCAACTGAAATTTTCTATGTTAATTTATAGTCAGCTGTTGACACAAGAAAAAAAATCATTTTTAAGAAACATTTCTAATATAATATAATTTAATAATAAAAATATTCTTTGTTCGTTTCTCTTAATAATACCATAAAGATTTTGATGATGTTTCGGGCATTTTTCCTATCAGGTAGGCTCTTTTTTTAGCGAACACTTTAATGTATACACCCTCCCCCCCACATATATATATATATATATATATATATGTGTGTGTGTGTGTGTGTGTGTGTGTGTGTGCGTGTAGAGAGGGAAATTATGTGTACACCCCTCAATTTTGAATATTTTTATCCATTTCTCAGAATTTAAATGCCCGTATGATGCCAGGTTTTTTATATGTTGATGAGCACATAAAGTGGATCCTAGTAATATAAAATATTAAAACTGATCCACAAAAAGATATCAATGTATTTATTATAACAGAGTAAATAATTAATAAAGAATAAAATCCAAAATCACCTCATATGGGGAATAGACTATTTCGGCAGACGAAAATATAAGGGTTGATAAGACAAATGAATTATATTTTTATATATATATATATATATATATATATGCTGGTGAAAAACTATTTCGGTTAACTCACTGGGGAAGAAATGTGAGTTCGTAAGCAGTGACTATTACTGCTACTAATGCAATACTCTTCGATAAAACGAATCGAGTTCTCTCAGTCACTTTGTATTTATCTAAAAATAAATACGCTTAAATTCACCGTTATCACTGTCGGGCGCTAACGGCTTAGGGATATATTCTCTGACTAATGCTTATTCAGCCGGGTTTCAATCCTTACTAGCGACAACCGGACATCTAGTCACACTGATGAGCTGTGATACAGCGAAACAGTCTGTTTGTGTGTGAAAATGTATGTATTTGATGTTTTTTTATGGTTTTAAGTAACTATAAATATACTTTTAAGGCATATTGTATTTATGGATAAAAGTTCTCAACACTAAAGATAGTGCGTGATAGAACATAAAAATGGTCACTGATATCAACACCGAGTGGCGACAGTCCGTTTAATATTCGAACGCATTAATATATACATATATACGTTTTCTAGAATTCTTAAAAGTGATAATACGGATAAAATACAGGCTCAACTCTAATCTGACGATAAACTATCCCCTCTCCTTTTCCAGTAGCGGGAACAGAATTATCCCTGCTTTTAATTCGTCTCCACCCCTGTCCACATCCCCACTCCAGTCCATGTGCTTTAAAGCCTAAAGACCATGCGACGAAAGACGAAATGAAAGTTAAAGAATCTGAAAAAGCGGGAACTTGTATATTTCTGGGAAACAGACCTCTCCAAACTCTTATACATTTCCCTGTATTCATTTGTCTTCTAAGGGACCGACTCTAATACACCCCGCCTTTCTGTGTGTCCTCAATTATATTAACATGCTTTTAATCATTTTTCTTTCTCTTTCTTTAATTCGACTCCCGTCGTCTTTCTTAATAGGCAAATTTCATTACTTCTGCTTTGGGATTAAATCATTTTGAGTTCATTTTTCTCTTTATTTACTTTTGTTTTTGTTTTCTTTTTTGTTTTTGTTTTTGTTTTCTTTTTTGTTTTTGTTTTCTTTTTTGTTTTTGTTTTCTTTTTTGTTTTTGTTTTCTTTTTTGAGTTTTTCCGCTCGATTATTTGTTCGTTCTTTTTCCACGTTTTTCTTTCATTCGAACATTATTCTTTCTTTCTCCCTTTCTCTCTCTCTCTCTCTCTCTCTCTCTCTTTCTGAGATTCATTCGGTCATACTTTCTTTTTATTTGTTCGATTATTCTTTATTTCTTTCTTTTTATTCTTTCTTGCTTTCATTCTTCTTTTTTCTTACATTCGTTTATTCGCCTTTTTTTTCATATTTTCTTTTTCACCCGACCATTATACTTTCTTTCATTCATTCATTTGCATTTCATCATTCTTTTTTTTTGCGTGAGCCTTATTCTTTCTTTCTTTTCTTTCTTTCTTTTTCTTTCTTCCCTTTTCTTTCTTTTTTCTTTTTTCTTTCTTTCTTTCTTTCTTTCTTTCTTTCGTTTGTTTATTCGTTCTATATTACTTTCCGACATTCGTTCGTTCGGGCTTCTTTTGCGTTTATTTTTATCATCGATCATTTTCTCTTTCTCTATTTTAGTCGTTCACGTTTTCATCATTTTTTTTTTTGTATTTGTCTATTTATTTCTTTTTTCTTTTTCTTTCTTTTTTCTTTTATCTTTTTCTTTCTTTTTCTTTTTTCTTTCTTTTTTCTTTTCTTTTTCTTTCTTTTTTCTTTCTTTTTCTTTTTTCTTTCTTTTTCTTTTTTCTTTCTTTTTTCTTTTCTTTTTCTTTCTTTTTTTATATTTCTTATATATTCTTTTATATTTCCTATATTCTTTCGTTCGGACATCTTTTCGTTCTTCGTTTTTTTTATCATCAATAATTCTTTCTCTATTTCATTCATCTGAACATTCGTTGCTTGTTTGCTTGTATATATCTTTCTTTTATGTGCTGGTGTTTATATTATTTTTCCATCTCCTTTTATTTTATTTTTTAATTCGTTTCTTTATCTCTTCATTTCTCTGACCCATTCATTTCTTTCTATTTGATTTATTTATTTCATCCATAATTGAATTCTTTTTTTTTTCTTTGCTTTGTTCTTTCCATTTTTTTTCCTTCTTTTTTCATTCATTTATTTCTCCTTCTATTTTTTGTGTTCGTTTATTTTTCTTTCATTCGATGGCTTTTTCTTTATCTTTTTTTTCGTTTCTTTTATTTGTTCTCTTTTCTTTCTCCCCCACCCCGCCTAATTTCTTCATTGTTTTTCTTTTTCTTTCGTCTTTCATTCGTTCCGACATCTACTTTATTCTGTTTGTCATTCTTTCTTCCTTTCTTTTTTTGTGTTTCGACCATTTTAATTGTTTTTCTTTTTTCCTTTCGCTTTCCTTTGATCTATCCTTCCTATACGCAAACTTTCCAATTATAAATCAGTTCAAGCACGTCTCTCATCAAATTTACTTCCTGACTAATATTTGCCCAATCCTTTCATCATCTTCAAACATATCATTATACAGTGAATGCTATTATCTCTCGTATTTCCATATACATGACCTTGTGCCAAACAAGAAAATGATTACCTACAGGAATTTAAGTATTTCTCCTTGTCTATCATACATTAGTGAAATAGCATACATATATATAGGCTTCCATTAATTCAGTTACCGTCTAAAAATTGTCTCTGCTTCTAAAAGTAGTAGTAGTAGTAGCAATAATAATAATAATGTTGGATCATCGACATAGAGTTGGTTTGATTGTTTTTTCGTTTAGTGGCATATCAACACTTCTATGGGTTATTTAATGCCGAGATCTAAATATTTTGTACGCATTCTTTTAGACAACAATAAATTTAGTTTATACAAGTTTTACTAATTAACCCATAGCTGGAGGGAGAAGAGGCGGATTAATACCTTTCTCAAGGGCATTTGCGCGTATGCGAATGTTACGAACCCGACTGAAAAGGAACTCGGCTCTCCGATCAACAATTCTGAGCCATTAGCCATTACACTAGATTTACATCCAAGCTTACAGCACCTGGAGTTCTCACCCATGAAGGTAATGACCAGGGTCTACTTTGCTTAACTTCGGTGATCGCACGGGAACCATTATATGGCCGGTAACCAACGACATATTGGCGCCAGTGTATGTAAGGAAGGTTGAGAAAGAAAAAAAAATAATGGTAGCCATCTATCATGGTTTTAAACATGAGATAATTATTATTTATGGTTTTAAGAAAGTAGAACTTGTCCCTGTTGTTGTGGACGCCCTTGGAAATGTGACAGACAAAATCTTCCCCAAAATTGTGATTCAAACTAAGATGCTTCAGAAAATAGGACTTCTTCGGGCAGCTAGAATTCTTCCCCAAAATTCGGTCAGTCATTCGAACTGAGGTGCTTCAGAAAGTTCGACTTCTTCGGGCAGCTAGAATTCTTCCCCAAAATTCAGTCAGTCATTCAAACTGAGGTGCTTCAGAAAATTGGACATCTTCGGGCAGCTAGAATTCTTCCCCAAAATTCGGTCAGTCATTCGAACTGAGGTGCTTCAGAAAGTTCGACTTCTTCGGGCAGCTAGAATTCTTCCCCAAAATTCGGTCAGTCATTCGAAGTGAGGTGCTTCAGAAAATTGGACATCTTCGGGCAGCTAGAATTCTTCCCCAAAATTCGGTCAGTCATTCGAACTGAGGTGCTTCAGAAAATTGGACATCTTCAGGCAGCTAGAATTCTTCCCCAAAATTCGGTCAGTCATTCGAACTGAGGTGCTTCAGAAAATTGGACATCTTCGGGCAGCTAGAATTCTTCCCCAAAATTCGGTCAGTCATCATTCGAACTTGACATCTGCTTCTTCCCCAAAATTCGGTCATCTTCGAACTGGATGCAGCTAGCTAGAATTCTTCCCCAAAATTCGGTCAGTCATTCGAACTGAAGTGCTTCAGAAAATTGGACATCTTCGGGCAGCTAGAATTCTTCCCCAAAATTCGGTCAGTCATTCGAACTGAGGTGCTTCAGAAAGTTCGACTTCTTCGGGCAGCTAGAATTCTTCCCCAAAATTCGGTCAGTCATTCGAACTGAGGTGCTTCAGAAAATTGGACATCTTCGGGCAGCTAGAATTCTTCCACAAAATTCGGTCAGTCATTCGAACTGAGGTGCTTCAGAAAGTTCGACTTCTTCGGGCAGCTAGAATTCTTCCCAAAAATTCGGTCAGTCATTCGAACTGAGATGCTTCAGAAAGTTGGACTTCTTCGGGCAGCTAGAATTCTTCCCCAAAATTCGGTCAGTCATTCGAACTGAGGTGCTTCAGAAAAATGGACTTCTTCGGGCAGCTAGAATTCTTCCCCAAAATTCGGTCAGTCATTCGAACTGAGGTGCTTCAGAAAATTGGACTTCTTCGGGCAGCTAGAATTTTTCCCCAAAATTCGGTCAGTCATTCGAACTGAGGTGCTTCAGAAAATTGGACATCTTCGGGCAGCTAGAATTCTTCCCCAAAATTCGGTCAGTCATTTGATGTGAGGTGCTTCAGAAAATTTGACTTCTTCGGACAGCTAGAATTCTTCCCCAAAATTCGGTCAGTCATTCGGACTGAGGTGCTTCAGAAAGTTGGACATCTTCGGGCAGCTAGAATTCTTCCCCAAAATTCGGTCAGTCATTCGAACTGAGGTGCTTCAGAAAGTTGGACATCTTCGGGCAGCTAGAATTCTTCCCCAAAATTCGGTCAGTCATTCGAACTGAGATGCTTCAGAAAGTTGGACTTCTTCGGGCAGCTAGAATTCTTCCCCAAAATTCGGTCAGTCATTCGAACTGAGGTGCTTCAGAAAAATGGACTTCTTCGGGCAGCTAGAATTCTTCCCCAAAATTCGGTCAGTCATTCGAACTGAGATGCTTCAGAAAGTTCGACTTCTTCGGGCAGCTAGAATTCTTCCCCAAAATTCGGTCAGTCATTCGAACTGAGATGCTTCAGAAAGTTGGACATCTTCGGGCAGCTAGAATTCTTCCCCAAAATTCGGTCAGTCATTCGAACTGAGATGCTTCAGAAAGTTGGACTTCTTCGGGCAGCTAGAATTCTTCCCCAAAATTCGGTCAGTCATTCGAACTAAGGTGCTTCAGAAAGTAGGACATCTTCGGGCAGCTAGAATTCTTCCCCAAAATTCGGTCAGTCATTCGAACTGAGGTGCTTCAGAAAATTGGATTTCTTCGGGCAGCTAGAATTCTTCCCCAAAATTCGGTCTGTGATTCGGACTGAGGTGCTTCAGAAAGTTGGACTTCATCGGGCAGCTAGAATTCTCAGAAAATGTTTCTTATATTTTATTTATTTATTTATTTATTTTTGGCCATGCGGAGATGGGTACAATTATAATGACCGATGATCATTTGTTCTTGTCCGCTGCCGATCGGTAAACCATGGGAAAAGGAGTTATCCTTATTTGTATTACACGTGGGTCATTATCATAATCTTTGTTTCATTTATCGTAACGTTTCAGTCATTGTATCACCCGGCCTACAACAGTTGTTTTTCTATCCGGGCAACTTTCATAAAATTTCAAAGTGGACCCTTTATTTAATTTATATGGGGTGGGCAAGTTGTTCTCATTCCGCTGCGCATCTTTAGATAGATCTTCTCTAGTTCGTATTTATCACTCATCAGTTATTTTCAGCCTAAGTTCAAATACACACTGCCCGGCCAGGGATTGAACCTACAATTAATATATCAACAGTTCACGAACCCCTAAGCTGTTTAATAGGTACTCAGGAAATACTCATTATTTTTTTTACCCTGATCTTGGTTATCAACAAGTTTCAGAGGTTCGATCCCAGGTCAAGCATAAAATTCTGAATGGTAATTTTCAAAACTGAAAAATTCTCCCCATTCATAAAACTAGCGCTTTACAATCATTCGTACATTTTTACCAGCCTTTGCTTGACTAAGTAAAATATACATTATTTGTTGGTTTTAGTCATTTAGTACTGGTCACTAACATTTAGTATAGAATTGATGTCGCTTATGTGATACAACATTTTCTTCGGCTATGTCTAGTGACTGATCATTCATTAGTACAAACTGATCATTGCACGTAGGTTTCAGTATAATGCCTTTGGGCGTGTGAGTGTTTAATGAGAAAGTATGGCGATCCAGTTAGTGTATAACTTAGTAGCGGCTGCAGTGGATTAAGAGTGGACAATGTCCTTGGATCAGGTTCAGCCGATAATAGATGGAGTGATCTAGAATAGTAGCATTGAGTAAAGGAAAGGAAATGACGGGTCGACTAGAATAAAGCGGATGAGTGAGTAGTGAAAAGATAAGGAAAAACAAAGAGGATGTCAAATAATGTCCTGCCTTGTCAATCTCGGGTTGCAGAGTGGACAGCAAAAGACCATTGACGCTCTAATTAACTGATAACCTTGTTTTCAACTCCAACCTTGCTTTTAACATCAGGGTACATATGTAGAATAACTAAAACTCTTGGTCGTCCTCTCAAATTTAATGAGGGAAAATTCGTCGCTACATTCGTGTTTATATACCGTACCTATGAACACTAATAAGTATGTACCAATCCTCATAAATACGTTGAACACTATTGTAAGTGTTGGGGGTAATATGCTGTCTATGTAGTTCACCACTGGCAGTGGTTTACCTATTCACGCCGCTGGCGAGTATTGTATCTTGTTGATGTTAGAAAGATTACCATTTCGTTTCCAACCTCCGTTTTGATTATTCTTGATTCAATAAACTTTTCTCGGTTACAACAGACAGACAGACAGACAGATAGATAGATAGATAGATAGATAGATCATGAACAGACTGAGATAGTTAGATAGATAGATAGATAGATAGATAGATAGATAGATTATGAAGAGACTTAGTGTCATATACCATACCTATGAACACTAATGGGTATGTCCCAATCCTTATAAATACG